AACTGGTGCAGTTCAGCCTGGTTTGGCACAACCTGGAGTGGATCAGCATGGTTTGGCACAAACTGGTATAGTTCAGCGTGGTTTGGCACAACCTGGAGTGGATCAGCGTGGTTTGGCACAACCTGGTGCAGTTCAGCGTGGTTTGGCTCAACCTGGTTCAGTTCGGCGTGGTTTGGCACAACCTGGAGTGGACCAGCATGGTTTGGCACAACCTGGTGCAGTTCAACCTGATTTGGCACAACCTGGAGTGGATCAGCGTGGTTTGGCACAACCTGGTGCAGTCCAGCCTGGTTTGGGCCAACCTGGAGTAGATGAGCGTGGTTCGGCACAACCTGGTGCAATTCAACATAGTCTGGCACAACTTGGTGCAGATCAGCCTGGTTTGGCACAATCTGGTGCAGTTCAGCGTGGTTTGATCCAACCTGGAGTGGTTCAGCATGGTTTGGTGCAACCTGGAATGGATCAGAGTGGTTTGGTCCAATCTGGTGCAGATCAGCCTGGTTTGGTCCAGCCTGGTGCAGGTCAACTTGGTACGGTGCAGCCTGGAATAGATCAGCAAGGTTTGGTGCAACGTCAGGCAGATCCACGTGGCTTGGTACAACCTGGTGCCTATCCCCCTGGTTTGGTACAACCTGGTCCAGATCCTCGTGGTTCAGTCCAGCCTGGCGCACATGTGCATGATTTGTTTCAACCTGGGACATACCCACGTGGTCTGGTGCAGCCTGGAATGGATCAGTATGGTTTGAGACAACCAGGTGCATATCATCGAGGCTCGATAGCACAAGCCACAGAGCTTCGTCGCTCTTCAACATTCCAGGCAGATCCTACAGGTTTTATATCAGCACGTCCATATCCACATGGTGTGGTACCTCCTAGCAGAGAACAGCATGGCCAGGTGTCACCACTCCTAGCTACTCAAGGTTTGGCATCACCTGGTATAGACCGAAGGAGTTTGGTACCACCAGAAACTTATCAGCAAGGTTTGATGCAACCTGGCACCCTGATACACCAGCGTGGCCCAACACCAGTAAGCACAGACTTGGAATCTACACGCCCAGATCAGCAGCATTTGACATCACGTGGCCCAGGTAAGCACGACCAGGTACACCCAGATGCAGCTCAGCGCAGCCGTGCTTTCTCTCTTGCAGACAGCCGTGATTTAACGCATCCTAGCTATGGTGGCCCAAGGTACCTAAGTGCTGATCAGCATAGCCAGGAAGGTTTGGATCCAATTAGAACGCAATCCTCAGACCAGCCTGGAATTGCTGCCCAGATGGTCCCAGGCCAAGATACCAGCCTTTTCAGGAGTCCAGACTCCCTCAGCCGAGTGTCATCACAAAGGAGCGAAGTGTTGAGTGAGGTCCCGAGTGTGCACCGTGATTCACTGTGTAGAATGAGCTCTAGTTTCCCCACAGCAATGGAAACGTTTCGTCTGATGGGAGAGCTCAGCGGCCTCTATCTGGAGCTAAAGGAGAGTATGAAGGATCTGGATGAGGAGGAAACTGGCCAAACCGAGATGGAGAAGATACAGTTCCTGCTGGCGAAGATGGGTGGGTGCCTCTTGCCGACAGAGGAGAAACCACCGTCTCTGGGTTCAGGGGGTCTCCCCTGGCCTCAACTCCTGGCTGCTAGACTTCTCCCTGAGCCCCTGAAAACAGCATGTCTCACAGCCTTTGCAGTCCAGAAAAATGGGTGGGCAAAGGAAAGATCTAAGCCGCAGGAGAGGAGTGGAGCGGGTGCTTGTGGCTTTGTCAGGCTCTCTGCACAGCAGCTGGGGAGAGTGTCTGGTTATAGAAAGCAGTAGCACTGGGAGGTGGGTGGGAGAGAATGCTGAAGAATTAAACTTAACATTTTGGCTGGGAGCAATGGCTCACGCCTGTAATCCCAGCACCTGAGGAAGCAGAGCCGGGCAGATCACTTGAGACCAGGAGTTTGAGACCAGCCTCAGCAACATGGCAAAACCCCATCTCTACACACAAAAAAATAGCCAGTGTGGTGTCACACACCTGTAATACAGCTACTCGGGAGGCTGAGGTGGGAGGATCGTTTGAGCCAGGGAGGCAGAGGTTGCAGTGAGCTGTGATCTTATCACTGCACTCCAGCCTGGGTGACAGAGTGAGATCCTGTCTCAAACCAAACAAAACGTAACATTTGTCTATTCCCAACTCCAAGCCCAGAGAATAATTAAGATTTTTGTGGTGGATGGAACTGGTGAGTCTGTTGTCCCAAAGCCCTTTAGGATGTCAGGCCCCAGGTGGATGTTTTATGGGCTATGGACAGTCTTCTCTCCCTTCTTCCCCTCCTGCTTTCCCAGTCACCAGGAGATGCAGGATAAAGTGATAGGTTCTGCCGTTCTCTGGGGCAGCTTCAGTGTTGCAAGGGCTGGAAATAGAGATTGGGGGCTCACTAGAACGCTGACCCCTCTGATCATAAGGTCTCTGTTTTCCGTAGTCAAAAAGATCATCCCTCCTGACCTGCAGGAACAGGTGAAGACTGTAAAGACTTTAGCCAAAGAAGTTCGGCAGGAAAAAGCAAAAGTGAGGAAGAGTTAACCCACTTTCCTTTTTTTTTTTTTTTTTTTTTTTTTTTTTTTGGGAGACGGAGCCTCACTCTGTTGCTTAGGCTGGAGGGCTGGAGTGCAGTGGCATGATCTCTGCTCACTGCAACCTCTGCCTCCAGGTTCAAGTGATTCTCCTGCCTCAGACTCCCGAATAGCTGGGATTACAGGTGCCCACCACCACGCCTGGCTAATTTTTGTATTTTTAGTAGAGACGAGGTTTCACCATGTTAGCCAGGATGGTCTCGATCTCCTGACCTCGTGATCTGCCCGCCTCAGCCTCCCAAAGTGCTGGGATTGCAGGCGTGAACCACTGCGCCCGGTATCACTTTGTCTTTTAATAGCACTTTCCATGTATATGTTATGGATTAAACGGTCCTTTCTCATTCATTATTATCTGATTAGATCTTTGCCATCCTATCAGATAGGAAATGCACCTTGGCTATCATCGTGTTCATTTCCTGGATCTAAAAACTGATGCTCAGGCCAGGCACGGTGCCTCATGCCTGTAATCCCAGCACTTTGAGAGGCCAAGGCAGGAGGATCACTTGAGCCCAGGAGCTCGACCAGCCTGGGCAACATAGCAAGGCCTTATCTCTGCAAAAAATTTAAAAATTAGCTGGATGTGGTAGTTCATGCCTATAGTCCCAGCTACTTGGGAGGCTGAGGCAGGAGGATTGCTTGAGGCTGAGTTTGAGGCTGCAGCAAGCTATGATCACACCACTGCACTCCAGCCTGAGTGACAGAGCAAGACCCTGTCTCTAAATTTTTTTTAAACTGATGCTCAAAGCTATTATGATTCAGCTGAGCCAAATCAGAAGGGCTTTGCTCTTTTCATTATCTGTGGTAGCCTTGGAGTCCAGTTTGTGAGACTTTCTGGGGTCACAGGTCATTGCAAGGGACTGCTAGATCTTCAGTCATTCTCTCTTTTGTAAATTGAGTCAGAGTCTTACTCTGTGGCCCAGGCTAGAGTCCAGTGACACAATCTTGGTTCATTGCAACCCCTGCCCCCTGGGTTCAAGCCATTCTTGTGCCTCAGCCTCCCAAGTAGCTGGGATTATAGGCACACGACACCAGGCCACACTAATTTTTGTATTTTTTAGTAGAGACAAGGTTTCACCATGTTGGCCAGGCTGGTCTTGAACTCCTGACCTCAGGTGATCCACCTGCCTCAGCCTCCCAAAGAGCTAGGATTACAGGTGTGAGTCACCGTGCCCAGCCCATGCATTCTCTTAACGCCAGCTCTCTACATCCATGGGATGGATGAATGGGTGGATGGACATCCACAAAGGCTCCTGGCTTTTGCGGGAGAGGGTTGGGTAGCAGAGGGAAGGGGGGCTGGCATGGGCTGCAGGGGCACACTTGAGAAGCGGGAGCTCAGGCCTGCCTGACCCTCCTCATTCGCTGGGTTTGTAGGTGGAAAGGCTGCAAAGGATCCTGGAGGGGGAGTCAGGGAAGGAACTGAAAGCTGGCGACCTGAGCTTGCAGCTGGGTGTCCTCAGGTAAAAAAAAATGTCCCCGCTGAGAGCAGCTGGTCCCCTGGAATCACAAATTCTCAGCCAAAGGGATGATGACGGCAGTGGCTCCCTCATGCTCCTGAAGGGACCACGGTCTTCGGCCTGGATTGTCTGCCCTTCAGGTTGTCCGTGTCTAGCTCAGGGAACTGGTCGAAGCTCCCCAGGTTCCCAAAACAACTCGGGACCAGGTCTTAGAAAAGCAAAAAGAAGCTTCTCAGACTCTGGCCCTGGTCAGAGGCCGGAGGAGACCGCTTCTGACGGCCCCTCTGAGCCCTCTCTTTGCAGTACCCAGTCCCGCCACCCAGAAGCCTCCCAGGACAGAGGCTGGGCCAACAAACTCCAATGGGGTGGGGTGGAGACACCCTAGCTGTGTCTGGTCTCCCAGCACCCCTGATGGCTGAGGCTCTGCATGGGTGGGCTCGGGTCTGTGGCCTGAGTGTGGAATCTGAGTCTCTCGTCGTGCACCAGAGTCACCGTGGCTGACATCGAGAAGGAGCTGGCCGAGCTGAGGGAGAGCCAAGAGACGGGCAAGGCCGCCATGGAAAATTCTGTCTCTGAAGCCTCCCTTTACCTGCAGGACCAGGTGAGGGTTCCGTGCTCTTCAGCTCCAGGGACCAAGGGCCCTTCTCAGAGCTGGCTTGTCAGAAACCAGGTCCCTCCCGTCCCGTGTGTGTGTGGTGTGTGTGTGTGTGTGTGTGTGTGTGTGTGTGGTGTGTGGTGTGTGTGTGGTGTGTGTGTGGTGTGTGGTGTGTGGTGTGTGTGGTGTGTGGTGTGTGTGTGGTGGTGTGTGTGGTGTGTGGTGTGTGGTGTGTGTGGTGTGTGGTGTGTGGTGTGTGTGGTGTGTGGTGTGTGTGGGTGTGTGTGGTGTGTGGTGTGTGTGGTGTGTGGTGTGTGTGGTGTGTGTGTGGTTGTGTGTGTGTGGTGTGTGTGTGTGGTGTGTGTGTGTGTGTGTGTGTGTGTGTGTGGGCGAGGAGTGGAGGGAGAAGAGGAGGCAGCAAATGTGTCTAGGATCTAGCTCCCTCCTTATCCAAAGCCAGCTCTGAGTCCACAGGGGCAGGTGGCAAGGGAAACACACCCGCATGAGGCCTGTTTACCTCCCAATCTTTCTTTCCCTCCTTTTTTTTTTTTTTGAGATGGAGTTTTCCAGTCATCCAGGCTGAAGTGCAGTGTCTTGATCTCAGCTCACTGCAACCTCCGCCTCCTCGGTTCAGGCGATTCTCCTGCCTCAGCCTCCTGAGTAGCTGGGATGACAGGCATGCGCCACCACGCCTGGCTAATTTTTGTATTTTTAGTAGAGACGGGGTTTCACCATGTTGGCCAGGCTGGTTTCAATCTTTCCCTACCTGTTTTATGATATAATTTATATATCATAAAATTCAGCCTTTTAAAGTGAATAAGGCAGTTTTTAGTACGTTCACAAAGCTTTGCAACTATCACCACAATCTAATTCCAAAGCATTTAATCACCCACAAAAGAAACCCTGTAGCTCTTTTTTTTTTTTTTTTTTGAGATGGAGTTTCATTCATGTTACCCAGGCTAGAGTGCAATGGCGCGATCTCGGCTCACCGCAACCTCCGCCTCCTGGGTTCAGGCAATTCTCCTGCCTCAGCCTCCTGAGTAGCTGGCATTACAGGCACGCACCACCATACCCAGCTAATTTTTTTGTATTTTTAGTAGAGACGGGTTTCACCATGTTGACCAGGATGGTCTCGATCTCTTGACCTCGTGATCCACCCGCCTTGGCCTCCCAAAGTGCTGGGATTACAGGCTTGAGCCACCGCGCCCGGCCTGAAACCCTGTAACTCTTAGCAATCTCTCCCCATTCCCTTCTATCCCTCAGCCCCTGGCAACCACGAATCTGCTTTCTGCCACTGTGGATTAGTCTATTCTGGACATCTCATATAAGTGGAGTCATACAACGTATGACGATTGTAGCTGGCTTCTTTCACTTGGCACGATGTTTTCCAGGCTCATCCACGCTGTCGCATGTCAATACTCCATTCCTTTTTATGGCTTATTAATGTTCCCACAATTTGTGTTTCTAGGCATCAGCTGAAAGACGTTTGGTTTGTTTCTATCCTCTGGCTATAATGAGTAATGAACATTCATGTAAAAGTTTTTTTGTTGGGCTGGGCGCAGTGGCTCAAGCCTGTAATCCTAGCACTTTGGGAGGCCGAGGCGGGTGGATCACGAGGTCAAGAGATCGAGACCATCCTGGTCAACATGGTGAAACCCCATCTCTACTAAAACTACAAAAAAATTAGCTGGGCATGGTGGTGCATGCCTGTAATTCCAGCTACTCAGGAGACTGAGGCAGGAGAATTGCCTGAACCCAGGAGGCGGAGGTTGCGGTGA